AAAAATAGCACTTAATAAACATTAAAACAGTGCCACATGCCAACAGCCTAGGTACATGTTTTGCATTTTTTTGTAGAAAATATGTGCATTATTAATTAATATGTGACCATTTCACTTAATTGTATTATTTAGTCATTTTTTCTTAGATAAGTATTTTTAACCAGATACTTATAATTATTGTTAGTAATAGATCCTAGAGTATATAACCTATGATATTTCTGAAAATGTAAATAATTTTTTAAAAAGTGCAGGTGAAAAGATATGAAGAGAGATTATGTATTAGCATCATCAGGCTTGATATACACTTAGATATTACCTAGTCTAATTTCTGCATTTGACAAAGGTGAAGCTGTGGCCCAGTGATTACGAAGGTCTTAGAAGGTCAGGCGACCGTGAGGTAAAAACTGACTTAGAATGTCTGTGTTCCTGGTCCAGCTTCTTTCCTATTGGAGTGCTCAGGGAGCCTGCTGTGTTAGTAAACTCACTGTTTCTTCCTTTTATAAATCCTTTGTAATTGGTGATTGTATGTATTTCATGAACTATCGTCCTAGGTTCTACCCAACCAGTCAAACCACTGCTTTACTAATAGCTTTATATTCAGAAGTATCTGTAAAACCTCTTTAATTTTATTTAAATATCCAGAAAAGGGAGCTGACTGGTGTAAGGGGAGATCGTAAGGAAATGCTCTGACAGACGTGAGGGTGGGTTTTTAGATACAGGCAGTGTGTGTGGTGGTCATGAACACACCTCGAGCTCGAATCTCAGCTCAGCTCCTGCTTGCTATGTGTCCAGACCAAGTTCTTCTCAGCGTCCCTCAGTTTACTCATCGTAGGATAGACATAAAAAGAGTGCCTACCTGATTATGTCAAATGAAGGGTTAATATGCATGGAGTACTTAGAACAGAGACTATCACACATTAAAAGCCACACAGTTATTTAAATGTTTTGCAAGTGGCTCACTTAAATTATGGAAAATATAGGGGAACCACAACTATCTTCAAATATCTGAAGGGCTCTTATTATGTCAGAGAAGCATAGAGCACACTCTTGGGGACTCTAAGAATGATGAATACAAGTTCGAGCAGGCAGGCATTGTTCCAAAGTTGCTCCTGGAAGAAATAAAGCTTCTTTGGGAGCTATGGATATTTTATCACTAGATTCAAACAGATCTGGATATGAAGTTTTTCTAAGCTTCATAACATTCTCTTTTTATAGTAAATTTTTAAAAATTAATAAGCTTACTATTGGGAGGAGTAGATGCTCCGAGCACCCTCCACATTCTTGCTCAGCTCATCAGACATGTAGCAGGGCACATGTAGTTAGTCGCACAGGTGACTAGTTCACGGAGCCCACAGCACTCACTCCCAGAGGAGAGCACCTGGTGCAATGTTTGCTGCTTGCTCAAAAGGACTTGACTCTTGGCCAGTTTTCTCTCCTGTAACACAGCCCACTGCCTGTGCAGGCATCCATTTAGGTCCTCCTGTGTGGCCCATGCCTCCCCTCCATGGGATGGGGGGAAGGGTTACCTGTGCTAACATGAAGCTCTGGGTACTGAGTTTGTCGTGACTAATGAAGTTCTCTGTCTCTGATCCAGGAGTCTCTTATCTTCTGCACCCATCCATGAGGGAGTAGTAACAAGCTAACCTGTTAGGCTTCTAAGTAAAGTAAAATCCCAGAAACCTCAGAGTTCTGGACACATACAAATAAGAGCTAATTTGATTGCCTGCTATTAGCATAGTCATTATGCGAAGCCCTTTATGTGTGTTATGTCAGTAACCCCTCACTACAAGCCTTTTTCACAGATTGGCTTTACAGGACGGGTTTTAGTGTTTTAATAACTTGCCCAAGGTGGGCCAGACAGCAAACTGCACAGCATTCTGACTCAAAAACGGATGCTTGGTGCCGCGGTACTGTACCATGCTCCCTTGTTTTGCTACATGTCCCCCACACCGACTTGAAAATGTACTCAGTGACTAGAGCACTTTAAATGTCATCATCCAGACTTCAAAGGAAATAAAACGGACTTCTTATTTCTGTAAACATGTTCTTTAGCTGTCCCTGCAACTCCCTTCGGCCCCGCCCCAGTACAGCCCTTTACTAGTCTGTCCTCGCATGTTCCTAGGCCCGGGCAGAGTCGGAAGACAGGGCCCAGGATGGGCTGTAAAACAGCGAGACAGTGTGGTTACAGAAAGAAGCCCTTCCAATTACTCTCTTCCTCCTCTGTCAAGGTTAAGATACACTATTGTTTATATTTCTATACACTAACAATCAGCAACTGGAAATTAAAATTTAAAAGTACATTTACATTGCCATAAAAACATAGAATTGATCAGAATAAATATAACAAATTATAAAATACTGGTGATAGAAATAATGAAGATCAAAATAAATGAGAAATATACTATGCTTATGGATGACAAAATTTAACATTGTTAATATGTAAATTATCCCCAAATTGATTTATCAATGGAATGCAGTGCTAATCAAAATCCCAGTAGGCATGTTTCTAAAAACTGACAAATAGATTCTAAGATTAATGTAAAAATGCTAATGGCCACAAATATCCAAAGCAATTTTTAAAAAGAGAAAGTTGGATGACTCACAGAATGATTTCAAGTATTATTATGAAGTTTCATTAATCAAGAAAGTATAATATTGGTGTAAGAATAGACTATTATATCAATGGAATGTAATGGAGTGTCCTAACATAGACACACACATATATATTCAGCTGATTTTTAACAGAGGTGTCCAGGTAATTGGTTGGGGAAACATGTTCTTTTGAGAAATGACGCTGGAACATTGGACAGCCAGGTGAAAAAATAATGAACCACGACTCATATATAGCAACGTATACAAAAAGCCACTCCCATGGATAATAGACCTAAATGTCAAGCATAGATCTCTAAGATTTCTGAGAAAACCTAGGAAAAACCTTGTTAATTTTGGGTTCAGAATAGAATTCTTAGATAAGACATAAGAAGCGCAAACCATAAGAGGAAAAAAACTTCTTTGAAACACACCGTTTAAAAAAAATGAAGACAAGACACAGTCTGGGAGAAAATATTTGCCCAGTGTGTATATGATAAGGAACTTGAAGCCAAATATATAAGCTTAATATTCAGAACACAAAAACCCAGTAAAAAATAGTCAAAAGATTTGAACTTGCACTTTACCAAAGAAGACTATTTATGGTAAGTCAACACATTGAAAATGCAAATTAAAGCCACAGTGAGAAGCCACTAACACTTACTAGAATGAATTTAAAAAGTATTAATGATTATATACCTGAAACCTATATCATTTTATTAACTAATGTCACTCCAGTAAATTCAGTAAGAAAGAAAAAGTATTGACAAGGATAGGAAGCAAGAGAAACACTAACGCATTGCTGGGGGAAGCACCAGAGGGTACAGCCACTTTGGGAACAGCATGGAGTTTCTCCTAGACATTTAAACAAAATAAATGAAATCATATGTCTGCACAAACACCTTCATATGAGTGTGTATAGAAACTCCATTCACAATTGACACAAATTGGACACAGCTCAAATCTTTGGTGAATGGATAACCAAAGTGCAGTGCAAACTATTGCTATATGCGCAGCATGAATGAGTCTCAAAAACAGAGGGAAATGAAGTCATACACAAAAGGCTACATACTCTGACCCCTGTTACATGATATTATGGAAAAGGCAAAACTCTAGAGAAAGAGAATTATCAGTGCTTTCAAGGGCCAGGAGGCCAAGGGAGGTAATTGATTCCAGCAGGTGGTTACAAATAGACACATGGGGTTTGATAAAAATTCTATTTATTGCTGATCATATTGGTCACACCATTAAATATATATATATATTTCAAAACTTTCCCTGGCCAGTTTGGCTCAGAGGTTATACCGTTGGTCTGCGGACCAAAGAGTCCTGGGTTTGATTCCAGCCAAGGGTTTGTGCCTCAGTTACAGTTTGTCCCCAGCCCTGGTTGGGGTCATGTGGGTGACAACCAGTCGATGTGTTTCTCTCACATCGATGTTTCTCTCTCTCTCTCCCTCCCACTCTGTCTCAAGATAAATGTAAAAATATCCTCAGGTGAGGATTTAAAAAAAACCTCATTGAATTGTAACCCTACAAAGGGTGAATTTTATTATATGTAAATATAACTCAAGAAACTCGAATTTTTAAGGAACCAGAATAAGTGCACTGAGCTTCAGTTAGAATCACAACTACTATTGTAGACAACATGAAATAATTATGTTTACATATATTGAACCTGATTAAATATGTATTTATTTCTCCTTGTATGGAGAAATGGTCACATTTAGGAAAGTACATTTTAAGATCTTAATACAAAAATGTTATAATGAAAATTTGACATTTAGATTGTGTTTATTTTTTATGAACGTCACAAAATGTCTTTCTTTTGACAATAATGTCTGTAGCAAAACAAAAACATGAACTCGCTCTTATTTTATATTTTTGGCTAGATTGAACTGTATAGAAATAATAAAACTTACTCACTTTGTAATATTGCAGTCTCATGCACATCATTTCTATCTCAGTACCCAGTTGTAATTTAGTTACAAACTCTATTGCCCTTGATGCTATATTTTAAATTATATATATGGTTTTTTAATTAATTGTATAATTTTGCCCTACTTGTTATGATTAAGTTTCACATTTAAATATCTTTCCTAGTTTAGTTATGTGTGTCAGCCTTAGCTTTTAAATTGCTTTTAGATTTGTCTATGACAGTCACATATACATTTGTAAATATATTCTTCTCAAGTTGTATATTTTTTTCTTTCAAATGTGAAATTGAATGACATTCAGAGCTAATAGAAAGGCTTACAGATTTTCCATTGTTTTTGCTTTTTTCCTGCACTATTGAGAAACTGCTTCCTTGAATAAAACAGCTTTCTATAACAGAGGTGTCCTGTTGTGGTAATTTATGATTGATATAGCCATGTTAGCAGAAGACTAATTCTACTATTGATTATTTCCTATAGCAGTCCCCTGGTGTTGCCAATTGCCAAGCAAGACAGTTTGCTGGAAAAAGACACTATGTTCAAAGATGCAACAAAAGGTCTATGCAAGAAACAATCTCAGGACAGCACTCCTGAATATGCCACTGTGAATGGCACCTCCAAACCTGAGCAGGTAATTACACCCATACTATTCTGTCCTAAAGACTTTTCAAACTTTTTATATCGTTAATTTTTATTTTAAAATAACTAAAATAGCAAAACATTTGAAATGCTTTAAATTTTATTAGGTGTATTCATTCGTTCAGGCTGCCCTAGAAAATTACCACACACTGGGTACCTTCAACAACAGAAAGTTATTTCACACAGTTCTGGAGACTGGGAATGCAAAATCAAGGTGCTGGAAGGCCCTCTTCCTGGCTTGCAGGTGGCTGCTTTGTCACTGTGTCCTCATATGGTGGACACACAGAGAGAACAAACTCTCTGGTATCTCTTATGAGGACTCCAACCCTATGGGATTAGGGTCCTATGCATCTCATACCCTCATTCAACGTTTATTACCTCCCCAAAGCCCTGTCTCCAAATACAGTCATATTGGCGATTAGACCCTCAGCCTATGAATTGCAGGGGACACACAATTCAGTCCATAGCAGTAGGCACATGTTAGGACATTTTAAGGCAAAGTTGTTTCTTAACTTTCTTAAGGATCCTATGAACTTCCTGTACCCTAGAGGGCATATTACCAAATGAAAATGTTTAATTTGAAAAAGCTACATATACTGTGATTCCACTATTTGACATTTTAGGAAAGACAAAACCATGGAGACAGTGGAAAGGTCAGTGGTTGCCAGGAATTGTGCGGGGGAGGAAGGACTGGGTGGAGCACGGAGGATGTTTAGGGCAGTGAAACTACCGTGCGTGATACTAATCATGGATACATGTCTGTACATTTGTGAAAAGCCATGGAATGAATGTAACCACCAGGAGTGAGCCCTGATGGAGGCTATGGACATTGGGTGATTACGATGTGTTGGTTTGGATTCATCAGTAGTAACTAGTGTCCCACTTGGGGGGGGGGGATGCTGATAACAGGGCGGGTTGGATGTTGGGTCAAGAGTATATGGAAAATCTCTATACTTTCCTCTCAATGTTGTAGGGAATCTAAAACTGCTCTAAAAAACAGAAATTATTAAAAAAAATAAGAGGACATTCCCAACATAATGCCAGGTATAATCCTTTTATACTTAATTGTTTTATACTTAAAAGTTGAATGATTTTTCTTTTTTAAAACTCTTTGTGATTGCATCCTAGATATTAAAAGCAATTATAATCATATTATTTTTATTTGGTATTAAAGAGGGAATGGCTTGTTCATGTTTATGTTCATCTACTATCTATGTAATATCTCCCCATGTCTCCCCCTATGTGCAAATACTGTCATACAGTCTTGGTCATGGGGTCCACTGGGGACTCTCTCCAGAGGAAGAATCCTGACAGAATTGTACATTTACATCCCATCGGAGAGCTTTAGAGAAGGCTTGTCAAAACAGTAACATTCGGATTAACATTTTAAAGAGAAGTATATCACATAAAAAAAAATTATAAAGAAGTATATAACATAGCATCTCTCTTACCTGGTTTTTATAAAATGTCAGTCTTAACAAATGGTAACTGTGTAAGTGAATATTCAAGGCTTGATTTAAACTTTTTATGATTCTGATAATCACCAAAGTAAACAGTTGCTATTATAGTATCTGTGAGAATCTAGAATTTTTCTTAATTTTCTCAAACATGTGTAAGGCATTCTTTCTTCTTTTCCCTCTTTGTTACCCCTCCTGTTACTCTTCTCCCTACCCTGCCCTCTTCTGTTCTCTTTCCAGTTTTCTACCTTCCTGCCAGCGTCCCCGTCTTCTTTGCTTTGAGAATAATTCGAGCTTAAAATTCAGGTCAAATTTTTATTTCATCCAGCTAAGGCAGGCTACCCTGGGGGTAAGGAGAGAGGATGACGGAGGCATACAGATCTGTGCTGGCCCAGGGCTGCTTTGGAGCCTCCGACTCGGGAGGTTCTCTGTCACTGCGCTGCATCTATGAAATGGGCAAATAGCGCGGACCTTCGATGGCTGTTAAGAAGACTAGGCTATAAGGTGACAGTGTTTTTCCAAAAACAGGATAAAAACTCAGTAAGATGTATTCATTGCTGATTGTTATTATTTGTATAGACTGTATATTAGATTTTGCCAGAGTGGTTGAAAACTCTGTTCACTCATTTAGCTGCTCTTAAGTCATGTAAATCCAGTCAACCTATCAACCGGGTTTTATTTTCAATGTAAATATGGGCTGTGTTAGAATATAATAATACATAATAACACTCGATATGGATTAACATTTCAAAGCTGAAAATGCTTCCACTTGCATTATTTTAATCTTCAAAATACCACAGTGAGCAAGTGATTATGTACTTTCTTTTTTTGTTTGTTTGTTTTGTTTTGTTTTTAATCCTCACCCAAGGACATTTTTCGATATTTTGTTCAGATAGAGAGAGAGGGGGAGAGAAAGAGAGAGAAACATCGACGTGAAAGCGACACATCGAGTGGTTGCCACCCACACGACCCAACCAGGGCTGGGGACAAACTGCAACCAAGGTACGTGCCCTTAGCGGGAACCGAACCCGGGTCTCTCCGGACCGCAGGCCGACGCTGTAACCACTGAGCCAAACCGGCCAGGGCTGATTATGTACTTTCAATGCTTAATTTATACTCATGTTTCAAGCTGAGATTACATGGACCAAACTTAAACTCAAGAAGCTGAAGCAAAGGGCCTGGGGTCACAAGTGTTTACTCCCGCATCCAGTGCTCTCCGGAGGACAGCACCGCTCCCGTTCCTCTTCTGGAGCTCTGCTGACCTGGCAGCTCCACGAGGTGGGGAGCAAGTTTGTGTCCCGTGGCTGCCTGGGCAGTAGAGGGTCCACAACTGGAGCGAATGCTCTTTCTTCAGCCTGCAGACACACCAACATCACACACAAAATACAAATCCTCAGCCAAACGAAGGCATAGTGAGTGTAACCACCTAATGCATTTCACTAAGAAATATCTAACAGAGTAAGAAAAGTAAGAAAGAACCAGTTAAAATGCTATTCATGCGTGATAATGAGCTTCAGCCTTGGGAGGTAATATCAAGTATTTGTCAGAGCAATGCCCCTTTCCCTGTCTTGACCATTCCAGTCACCTTGCATTTTCTTCTTATTTTCTCTTTCCTTCCCCCCCCCCCCCGCCCCTTGTTTCCTCACTCATGCACACCCGGTTCTTTCCTCCTGATCTGCCTCCCCACGGTCTGGGTGCCCTCCTTCTCTTTGTCAGACCATCCTTTTTGCCCATTGAGCTGCTTGTTCCTGTGTGCATGTTTACTAACTTCCTGGAGAGAAAAATCACAAGCAACCCAAGAAAACCTCAAAGTTGACAGGAATCAAAGCAGAGTTGACAGGTGGAGACAGGGGATCAGTAAATTCAGAATATTTTCAAAATTTAAGTTCCCTTTGGATCTCAAAACATTTCTGATTGTGTGCCCTGAGTAGTGTCAGCTTTGGGTTCTCCATCTCCGCTTTTGGAAATATATATGGAGGTATATATAATGTTTTCAGAAGAACCAAGATGGTGAATTCTGGAGAGGATGTTGATTTTCTGTACATATTTTCCCCATCTCTTTTTTTTTTTGCTATAGTGATACTTGCTTGGCTGACTTTGGTAGTACAAACTATGGAGTCTATAACTATACCATGAAAATATTCACAGACATGTTTTAATTTTTCTTTCTACTTGTTATCAGCTGCCACAGTGCTTTCGAAATCTTTATAAAAAGGTGTCCCTTTGATAACCTTGCTTAAGATTTATTATCAAAGCTTCCCTCCTAAGCATTTGGTATCTTGGTATGATAAATGGGAGGAATCCTTCCTGTGATCTAATCTAACACTGTATTTGTCACAGTTTATTACTATAAACAGACAAGGGAGTCTTCCCATGTTTACTGTCGGCCTAGTAGTTTCTCTGACCTGTGCACCAGCTGTGCCACTGAAGATGAAAATCCTTAAGGATACGGGGGAGGTGTCTGCAGTGGCTCTTCCATGCTTGTCGGAGCAAATGTGGAACTTCTGTTAATGCTCACGCTTCTCCAAAATTTGCACGCAGAAATTTGCATTGCGCTCCTTCAAGTTGTGGTTATAAGAGGAATATTATATCTTACTGTAAATCGTTACTTCCGAAGACAAAGAAAATCTTGCTCTTGATTTTTTTCCTTTTTATGATTTCTTCGGGAGATAACTATGTATGCTAACTTGCAGGAGATTTTTGTCTTTTCATTGCATTGCTCAAAGTTATTGCAATCATATTATTAGCATATTTCATATATATGCATGAATATGTATAGATGTATCTATTAATGTTTGTGTGTATATATATAAGCACTGGGTGAAAAAGATGCAGGGATTGAGAAGTACAGATTTGTAATTACAAAATAGTAATAAGGATGCAAAGTACAGCATAGAAAATATACTTTAATAATATTATAATGACTATGTATGTGACAGTTCGGTACTGGAAATATCAGGGGAACACTTTGTAAAGTGTATGACTGTCTGACCACTTTGCTGTACATCTGAAATTAATACAAAATAATGAGTGTAAAATGTAATTAAAAATCTATTTTTTTTATTAATTTATTTTCGTTACAGATGTTTCTCCTTTTCCCCCCATTGACACCCTCCTCCTCAACCCCCCCCCCCACCGCCTCATCCCCAGCTTTGTTGTCTATGTCCATCATTACTCATACATGCATATAAGTTCTGTGGTTTTAAAGTTTAAAGAAAAAGATCTCACAGGGAGGTATACCACTGGGATTTAAACATTATTCACCCAGGTGAATACAAATAATTGATGTCTAAGGCTTAGATGAACTTGAATTTACCAGTATTCCAGGACTCAGACCAATGCGTAAGATTTACCAGAACTAGCACGACTAATGAAAAAGCAGAATGCAAAACTGCCTGGTCCGGAAAACTGAAGGCGTCTAGGTACTTCAGCTAGGGGGTAGGCCCGAGACAGTCCTCACTGCCTGATTTTCATGCTCCTCTGAGAAATGTCAGTCTTGGCAGAACTCTGGGCCTATAACTTTTCAAATTGGAGCTACATATATGAAGTTAAAAAACATCGCAGTCTGGTCAGTGTGGCTCAGTCGTTGAGCGTCGGCCCATGCACCAGAAGGTCGTCGGTTTGATGCCCGGTCAGGACACATGCTCAGGTTGTGGGCCCGATCCCCAGTGGGGAGCATGCAGGAGGTGGCCAATCGATGTTCTCTCTCATCGGTGTTTCCATCTCTTTCCCTCTCCCTTCATCTCTTGTTAAAATCAATACAAGAAAAAAAACAACAACATATGACACAATCCCCCAAATTGATTTTGACAACCCAGAAAATATTAGGAGAGCTGAAACATGACTTCTATTCAGCAACAAGTGCCCATTTTTATACTGGTCTTGAACTGTGTAAGTAAATATCTCTAACATTATCAAAGCCTTAAAGCTGTGTCTCTAACCCAGAGTTAAATGACTAATTTTAGTAAGACTATGTTATATGTCCTTTATAGGTTAGTTCTGAAAGATATTTTGAGACATGTTTTTTATTTAAATGCTTCAAAAACAGAAAATAAACTCGAGGTGTTGGCTGAGTGTGTGCATGTTGTGGGAAAGGGAGAGGCTTGTTCCTGATACTTCTGAGGTTTGGAATATTTTACCAATTAATTTTTAATAAATAAACATGCTGTTATTGGAATATTATGTTTCCCCCTGATACAAATGGTCGTATGTCCAATGCCAGAGAGCCCGCTGCCAGGACACCCTTCCAACCAGAAGAAAACATTAACCACTCTTCAGAGTATTTGAAATTCCCAGTAAAGAATTTAACTTCCTATTATTCATGCATTAGCATTAGAAACAGTCTGGCATAACAATGACCTGAATTTATGAACTCATACCAAAGACTGCATTTTGGGAAATCACCATGCATCAGAGAAAGAGTCCTAAATTTAGTTTTTAAAAAATGTGCAATATTTTTTTACTCTGTAAACATTTAGCTGTTGGACTGTAATATTTAGGTTTAACTTATTTAGTGATGGTACATCCAGTAGTTGAATGTATAATACAAATATAGAATGCCCATACAAATAGAGGGCACAAACATGAATGCTAATAATACAAATAAGCATACTATAATTAATGTTCATGGGAGCATCAGTGAGAATATTCTTGTTCTTTTGTTCCTCGGTGTTTCACATGAGAAAACCAAAGTTGCCACATTATGTCACGTGCCTGCTTTTCAGAACATAGCTTCTGTATATAAAGCTAAACATTGGCCATCTCTGACTTGAAAAGGGTAGAAAGTCATCTAATCAAATAATCCAAAGTCATCTGCTTTTTTATTTCTAATATTACCTAGTTTTTAAACTGTCATTCTATATTCAATAGCATTTTTCTTGACAGAATTATCTTACTCTCCACAGCTACTTTAATCTTAAGAGTATTGCAGAGCAGAATAAAAATCACAAGTCAAAATTCAGAGTTTACTTTAAAAATCTGGCCTTCTCCTAGATGTATGCAGAAAATTCCAGGCACATTGCATCCTTGCCAACAACAGTAATCTGAGAGAAGTTTTGCTTTAGCTTCGGAAACACTGCAAATGCACAAGCTTTTTCTTTTTTTCAGCTGCTTATCTTATGAAGGACACAGCCCAGTTCAGAGCTGTCTAAATTGTAAGTAGCGACTAGGAAGAATCCACATGCTAAATGATTTTGACAGAGTTAATGTTTTTGAAGGAAGTAAGCTTACATGCCCTGTATGTGTGTGAGTGTATATGTGCACACTCATGGGTACAGAACAGAAATCCTTATCTGAATATATTTTTTTTGTGGCTCTTGAATTCTTTTGTTTCTTGTAAGTGAACCATTTCATCTTTTAATAACAGTTTCAGATGCATGTGGTTTTTAAACTTTTGAGATGTAATTGAAATGGAACATCCAACTGTGGAGAAAGTTGATTGCAAAGCAATTAGAATTGATCTTACTTATTTTTTCCCCCCAGATCAAGCTAATGCCTCCTGCTCCAAATGATGACCTAGCAACACTCAGTGAGCTCAATGATGGCAGCCTGCTTTATGAAATTCAAAAGCGCTTCGGGAACAATCAGATATACGTAAGTGCCCTTGAAATTGCCTTTCGTATTGCATCTGTCTTGCTGCATATTTTTATCCTTCAGTGCTGCAAATATCACAGTTAATGGGTTTATTGTTGCTTCTGGTTATGCTGATAGCTTAAGGCGGATTTCTCCAGAGCTCAGGTTGATTCTTCTGGTGCAGTTATAAGGGAAGTTCAGCAAAGTTCCAAATTTCAGAGTTATTAAGTGAAAGCTACTATTTTGAGAGTAGGCAACTTTTCTTGTAATGCTTGCTGAGGAATATCTTGCTAAAACCAGCAGGATCCGCTAATCACTTTTTAAAATTCTGTTTGTTTCATCTACTTTAACCTTCTAGATCTAGAAAAGGCAGCGAAAGGGGAAAAGTTGATTATGCATGGAGAAATGCCTCCCTATTCGCATGAAACGATAAACTATTGTTCCTCTAAATTATCAGGAAATGTCTTTGCCTGTAAAGTAAATAATTTATACAAGGATCTTTGATAATAGGATACAAATATATAACTCAGATGACAGACAGCATGGAGGATTTATTTGCTGTGGTTCTATCCTGCTTTATATGTGTTATTTCTACCAATACCAGTAAAAATTTAGACACCATGTGATCTCATATCTCAATCTCTCTCTCTGTGATTTTTCTTATATTCAACTTAGAACAATTCAATCAGAATGTCTATAGAGAAATCTGATTATCCACGTCTGCTATCCTTTTTTGATAACCATTTTTCTAGTCTACTGAGAAATTGATTAAGTGATTTTCATGGTTAATGTGAAATCTGAGATTCCCTTACAAGTAATAAATTGTCAGATGCTGATTAGCCTATGAAAATTCAGTGCAGCATTTTAATGCTTGGGTAAATTGCCTGCCACTGTAAATACACTTACAATTAAATACTTCTCTTAAAATTAATGGAATTGAGTCATTGGCATAAAGAAGTGAAACCTGATTATGTTAGTCTGTTATTGCCCTATTACTTCTATATTATTTATTCCATTTTTTTCTCCTCATCATTGTGTTGATTCTTGTTTTTAACTTATTAATTATATTAGTAGAAGACCATAGCTTGAATTGTTTTGAATTTTGTTATTTGTCCATGCTTTTCAAGTGACTTTGACTCTCAGATATCTAATTTATTTATCTCTATTTCAATGGATGCCATTTTCTTCAAAGCCACCTTCTTTAGTTTTCTACAAGGTTTTTCTAGAGCAAACTTCATTCCCTTTCTGACTGATCTCACAATAAACTGGAGTAATTTTTGTGACGAAGAAATATAGTCGCGGAACTCCCAGTCTTAAACCTTAACTCTGGCTTACCATTTTTCTTCTGAGGATGACCATAGTCCTTATTCCAGAGTCTAGAATCTCCTAGGAGTCTCAAGATCTGGTCCCTGAACACGATTGTTGATGACTCTTAGCCACTGATTATTGCCCTCCTTCCTGCATCTGGGAATTTTTTTAGTTTTCTTTCCATAACATTCTCTTTCTACCTCCATAAAATACTTAGCTTTATAAACTCCCATTTAAAAGTTCTTTAGTCTTTATGTTAACCTTCCAGATTAAGTCAATGTGAAGAATTTCTGTGTAGAACACTTATAACTGCTTGTGATTATATATATTGTTGGTGCTTTGATGAACATCTGGCTCCTGAACTTGACTCTGAGCTCAGTGAAAATAAGAACCAACATGGTTTTGCTCATTGAGAGGCCTGGCCAAGCACTTTCTAATCTTAAGTAACAAATACTTCCTACCTGTTTTTCTGAGTCCTGGCTCTAACTCCTCCCCACAATGGACTGTCTTCATAGATACCCTCTGCTTTCTATCTGAAGGACTGGAATTAATAACCTTGTGCTTTGCTAAAGTTCACATAAAATATACATTTGCCACTATGTGAGGCACAGTTTTCCTCCTATCTGTACCTGAAACAGCGAAGAGCTAAATCGTCTAGGAACAATTTTGTGCTGAGTATTCTATGTGATGGCATTTGAATTCACCTTCAGGGACAGACAAGCAATTTAAACATTATTGATTGAATAGTAATAAGTGATTCTCAAAATGTATCCTATGGACCATTAGCTATGTGAAACTTTTATAAGCAGTCTGCAATGAGAGTAAGCATTTAGAAACACATAGCAATCTGATGGTTTAATTTTCATCTGTTAAATCTAATAACATTCAAGGTTGATATTTTCTATGCTTTTATCTTTTTCGATTTTATTTCTCCATGAATTAATCTTTATTATGTTTTACAAAACTATCAGTCCATGATGAATTAGAAATAAAAGCAAATGTTTCTTCCCCACAAATATAAAGGTACTAACTAGTTTAGTAGTTGTCTCAAGATTAAATATTTCCATTTTGAGAGTCTTATTTTTTCCTCTTTTTTTTAATCCTCACCAGAAGATATTTTTTCCATTGATTTTTTAGAGAAAGGGGGAGGGAGGGAGGGAGATAAACATTGATGTGAGCAAGACACAGTGATCGGTTGCCTCCCGAACAAACCCAACCAAGTTGGGAATCAAAACTGCAACACAGGTAGGTGCACCCTTTGGTCCATAGGCCAATTCTTTAACGGCTGAGCCAAGATGGCAAGGGCTGATCATTTTTTTTAGTAGGTTATTACTGATTTTAGAGAGAGAAAATAATGAAGAGGGAGAGAGAGAAATATTGATAAGAGAGAAGCATCAGTCGGCTGCCTCCTGTACACCCCTTACTGGGGATTGAGCCAGCAACTCAGGCATTACCCTGACCAGGAATAGTACTGTAGACCTCTCCGTGCATGGGACGATGCCCAGCCAACTGAACCACACCAGCCAGGGCTCCCAGCACATCCCTCCTGTAGCGTCTCACATCATAATCAACGGCATCCCCTTCCAGCTTTCAGGCCAAAGTGCCTGGTGAGAGTATTAATGCTTGTTGTTCTTCCATATCCCATGTCTGATTTTACTGCAAATAACATCAGCCCTACCTTCGACCTATGCACAGAACTTGACTTCCACTGCTGTCACTGGCCCATCAGAGCCAAGATAAAATATTTCATCTGAATTAATTGTTGAAAAAGGATTTTCACCATTTTTTGTATACTCTGATTTATTATGTAAGATGGTCTTTCAAAGTATTTTTAAATTGCTCTCTCAATTAAGTGTAGAGCATTTCATTTAGCTGTCGAATGGGGAAGTTTCCATAAAGTCTGTAGCAGTAGAAAGTTCCCACAACATCAAACAAAAAATGAATTGCAGATGATGAGACTTTTACTTGCTGGGAAATGCACAGCATTTCTCAAACAATTATTGTCAACAGTAACAGAGAGAATAGAGGATGCAATCAGATCTCTTCACGGATGGCTGATATGCACACAGGCGGTAGTCTCTTTACAAACACACTAGTAGAACTTGAGACCCATAAAAAGAAACCTCAGAAAATACAAATAAATTCTGTAACTTTTCATTAGCTAAGTATAGAGTCTGTCTCATCTCAACCTCTTACTAACTTACTGTCCCCTGAAGGTGACCCAATTGGATGCAGCAGGTCATCTTTTTATGAGCATCTCAAGAGGTGAACGTTTACAAGTTGGTGCCAAAGTTGAAGTCTCTCTCACTTCCAGGTTATTCGAAATGATGTGGATGGACACAGTTTTTCCAAGCTAACCTAGTTAGCTACAGTTTCACCTATAGTATGCTATGCTATGCAGTACCTGCCATATAGTTGCATGTCATTCCATTCTGTCTAAAACACCCTTTTGAACACTTGACATGCATAAGGTATTAAAATAAAATAACATGTTAGAAAAATGAACCCGGGCAGGGTGGCTCAGTGGTTGAGTGTCGACCCACTCACCAGGAGGTCGCAGGTTTGATTCCTGGTCAGGGCACATGCCCAGGTTGTGGGCCCAATCCCCAGTGGGGGCATGCAGGAGGCGGCCAGTCGATGTTGTCTCTCATCAAAGTTTCTCTCTCTCTCTCCCTCTTCCTTCCTTTCTCTCTAAAATTAATAAAGGAAAATAATTTTTAAAGAAAAAGAAAAATGAGGTAAAGAAAATCTTTATATTCCTGCAATTTTAAAAATTCTTTCTCTGCAGTACATCTAAAATTTTCCATTTTATCAAAATGACCACTTCAGATTATGTTATAAACCTATATAAAGTCATTTTAAGACTATCATTAACATTCAGATCACATTTTTATAAATTATTATTTTTTGTTTATCAAAATATATTAATAATTTTCTTCAATAATTATACCAATATAAATAAAACTTATAATAGGAAAATGCAATTTAGAGTTACTCTATTTTGATTTTATCTTGAAAATTTTCATCTTTAGTTAACAGATGTCTCAGTTATCCCTGTCTAATTTCTAGATTCATTTTTATCCTCTTGAATTTAAGAGTAATTTTGAGATATTAAACTAATAAAGTCTTCTTTCATCTCAATTACTTCACTTATATTTTTTTTCTTCTATACTAGGCTCTAAAATTCTGGCCAATAATTTTAAGTAGATGTTGTATTGAATTACAACATATAAAGGGAATAGCACACAACTTATTAGTGTATGGCTACATGAATTTTTATTTAGTGAATATACATGTCAGCCAGCAGCTTCATAAAGAAACAGAATACAAGACCCTTCCCCAGTCCTCCCTAATCATTACAAAAGTTTCTAACATATAAGGTTATGGAATAGTTTTGTCTTTTTTTTTTAACTTTATGTAAAAGGAATCATCATATATATTCTCTTTTGTGTCTTTTATATTTCATGCATTATTATATACATCTATACTGTTACTTGTAGCACTACTTAGCCACTTTTATTGTTATACAATAAACTGTGTGAATATATCCCAATTTATTAATTCTTCTACAATTGAGAAACCTTTGAGATGTTTTCAATTTTTGGTTATTATAAATAACACTATTATAAACTATCTTACATGTTTTTGGAGACGAACATAGATGAGGGTTTCTGCAATGCCAGCATCATAAGGTATGATTAGGTGTAGAAGAT